TCGCGAACGCGACTGGCCACATGCGAACGCGTAGTGTAATGGAGGTGGCTGGGGGAGTCCTTGAGTTGTTCTTTGCGAATGCGATCCCTGGCCCACGAACGCGACAGACCCTTTGTGAACGCGAAGAAGATCTGTCCAGTGATTTTAAAACAGAACCTAGGTCGGGATTTCTCCCAAATTTCATATCTCCTTGCATAGAATCCGACCTTGGGCGATTTTTGAAGAGAAATTTCAACACCAAATCATAGGTTTGTATTCTTAAGCTCATTTCTTTCATTTTCCATCAACACCCATTAGATTTCTTGGCCTAAATCTTGTTCTTTAAGGGTAGAAATTTGGGATTTTAGGAGAATTGGGGATTTTACAAATTTGGGAATTTAGACCTCGATTTGGGGTCGGATTTCGTAGCTAATAATTGCATATTTATTCTCGTGGGTGAATGGGAGAACGGGTTTTGGTTCGAACCTCAAGTTTTGACCAAGCGGGCCCGGGGTCGGGTTTTTACTTTTTGGAAGAGTGTTCTGAAATATGTAATTTTTCATTTGAATTGGCTTATTTGGCTTCAATTAATGTTAATAAGTTAATATTGACTAGATATAAGTGAATTGGAAGTGGAATCTAAAGGAAAAACGGTATTTGAGGCTTGAGTTTGGCCGTGGAATCCGAGGTAAGTTTTTGGTATAACCTTAGCATGAGGGAATAGGTGTTGTGTCTTATTTGCTATGTGTTAGTGTCGAGTAAGACGTATATGTGAGGTGACGAGTATCTATACATTAGTGTCAAGAAATGCCCGTGAGTCTTATACTAGGATTGTTATGATTTTTATTATGAACTGTTCATGCTTAAATTGATAGTTATCATTGTGGGAAAAGACTTATGATAAATTCTTGGTAATTGACCATTTTGGCGTAATGGCTCAAGTTGCGGTTTATTTTGTGAAGTAACTATTGAAACTAAATTGGTTATAGTTGACTCCCTTGCCGGGACGATATATTGTTGATTCCCTTGTCGGTATGTTATTATTTCTATTGTTTGGGTGAGGAAGAATGTAAAGCACGAAGGGTGATGTCGTGCATGATATCGTGAGTGAGTGTTAATGCACAAAGGGTGATGCTGTGCCGATTCTGTGAGTGTAAAAGCATGAAGGGTGATGTCGTGCCACATTATTGAAAGTAAAAGCACGAAGGGTGATGTTGTTCCATGATTATGAGAGAGTAAAAGCACGAAGGGTGATGCCGTGTACTTGTTACTGTGTTATCATTTCCGTTGCTTCAAGTTTGATATTTACTTTGTCGCTTCACTTTATTATTGTCATAACCTGATATCCCCCTCAGCATATTCCCCCTTTTTCCGTCTTATTATGCTAAATTCTTGTTATTATTGCTTCTCGTATATGATTTAACTGCACAGGTTTTTATGGTCGTCGCGTCCTAGCCTTGTCACTACTTCGCCGAGGTTAGACTCGACATTTACCAGTACATGGGGTCGGTTGTACTTGTCACACCTCCTTTTTCTACCCCGGAAGGAGTATAAGGGAGTTTTTTCCAATTTAAGTGACAGTCGAAACGAAATTATTATATTAAATCAGAGTCGCCATTTGGGATAATTTATGGTGTCCCAAGTCACCGGTTTAAAATTCCGAATCGAGGAAGATGACTCTTATTTATGGTCTGCGAACACAAAAATCCGGGTAAGGAATTCTGTTTACCCAGGAGAAGGTGTTAGGCATTCCCGGGTTCCATGGTTTTAGCATGGTCGCTTTGATCATACTTGGCTCATTAAAATTGTTTAATTACTTATTTTAGAGCCTATGTGCATTTGCCTCTTTTAATTAAGAAATTATCTTGAAACGGGTCATGCGTACGTGTACCCATTTGTTTGGCACGTCAAAAAATCATGTCACACGTACGCGTCCAAAACTAATAAAGCTTTATTATTATCAAGGAAGTTTGATCGATGTTGCGAGAACGCATACTCCGATTTTGTTTTTAGAATCGTAATTATGTCACCTGAGCGTGTCCACAATCACGACGATATATTAAATGTGCCTAAAGCAAACTACGAGTATATCTAAGTTATAATATTAATAAGAGGGCCATGGGTGATTTAATTAAGATGGCGCACCTCAACCATTTAAAAGAATTACACTTAATTAGGCCTAAAGATATTCTTACTTACAAATGGTTTTGAACATAATATATAACTATTAGTGTAAGAAAGTTTGGGGTACATGTGCTGGGCCTTTAACTATTTGGAGGAAACTGGATCAGCGGTAGGCCCAACTCAACATTTGATTAAGAAAAACAAAATGTTGCGGCAGCCTGGGCTCGAAGCTAAGCCCAAAAAGCATGGACATTCGAAAACCTAATATGATCAAGGCTATTTATTTGGACTGTTGCCCAGCCCAACAATTCCACATTGAAAATCCTTTTCTGATTAAACTAACATAAAACTTTAAAAAAGGAAAACTACATAAGGCTGAAGACTATTGGGCTCCAAATTGAGCCCAAAGCAAAAGAAAGACCAAATCTGGTCACGTCCAAGCCTCATGATAAACGGACGGACTTATGAGGCGAAGAATCCAGCTCAGATTCAAACTAAAAAAAACTTTAAACATGCCAAGGCTTTTCTTTGATATTCATGTAGCTCTGAACATACAAATCACAAAAATGATACTAAAATCTGAAAATTAATATGCTGGATCAACTACACTATCTAAATGTGATGTTTTAGACTTCAATACTATACAAGAGGGAGGGTGATTTGTGTGGTACCCAATTTTTGCTTAACTGAACTATAGAAGGACTTGGTTCTTCTATGTATTCCAACTACTACTGTTTGTGGAATAATAAAAAAAATAAAGAACATAAAGATTTTTACATGGAAAACTCCTGGCTCAAAAGGTGAAAAACCACTACCTACTACTCAGTAGGATTTTTCCAAACTTTCACTAAAATCACTGAGCCAAAATACTATTTACAAAACTCTTTGTAAACCTAATGATTAACTCTAATCCTGTTGTGATAGACAACCTCAACTGTTGCGACAACTTCAAGTTAACTCTAACTTGAACACTCTAGGTACCTAATACAATTGCTTCTATGAAAGCTGAAAGGTACAATGTAAAATTACCTACTACAATTGAACTATAATAAAAGATAGACACTTGGAACTGGTTCTTCGATCTCGTTCAAGTAGCTTCAGGATTGCACATTCGAATCACACATAAATTGCTTACAAAATCACCTTGATCTTTTGCTCTCAATTTAAGTTTAACTTCTGCTTATGTGCATTACCTATAAAAGAGAACAATACTATTATTTAATAGGTTAGTAATTAGAGATTGACTTGGATACAGATGCTACTCTTCTATCGTAGAAGAGTTCAAATTGATCTCAAACTCTAACACTATCCTCTTCCTAAATTGTGTTCTCTTCATGTAAGGAGTCTTCCTCTCCTTATCCAATATGCAACCTTTTCGATCAAATCAGGAGATATTACTTCTTGATAAGTTAGATTTATCTCCTTCACGTGCATCTCATATGTACAAGTTGATCATGACTGTGCTTCACAAGATGGACCTGGTCCATGTCTGAGTTCTTTTGCAGTCTTCAAAACTTCACCTTTTTTTGGGCCAACAAATTCCCCTTTTTTGATGATGACAAACTCTGTGCTTTTTACTTACTTGGATCTTGTAAGAACTCAGCTTAACCATCAATACAAAGTTTAGAAAATTCACTTATCATCAAGGACCAGGTTAATTAGGTTATAAATATCACTTATTCAGAATGTGTAAAGCACAATATCTCTTCTCCCTTTTGGCATCATCGAAAAATTGCATACAAAGTATGAGTCCCATATTTTAATAAGTACTCATGGCCACTGGGGCAACTGCAAGTGCAATCATGGTTTAATCATCAGTAATCAATCAAACATATTCAAACTATCAAGGAAAGATTAACATTGAACAAGAGCAAAAACAATAGATATCATTGATAGTAGATATGTTGCTACCACAATCCACAATCAAAAAGCAAAAACCATTTAAAACATGAGCAAAAAGAAAGAAAAATCCCTAATCCGGGTCACTGAAGGTACTAGAGAGGTTCAGGAGATAAAGACTAGAATTTCTAAGGCTTGGGGGAGCTAGAGGGTTGGTTTTGGGCTTGGAGAAGATTCAGCATATTGTGAAAAATTCCATCATTCTTCTCCCTTTCCTTGGTGAGCTCAGTTCTGAGAGCATCCCTCTTAGATTCCACCTCTGCCACACGAGTTTTGAGCCTAGCTGTCTCAGCATCCTTGGCTTCATTTTCCTGAACAAGAGCCCTGACTTTACTGTTGATAGGAGTCTTCTTGGATAAACCAGGTTCATTATGGATGACATTGACTAAATAGTCACAATCAAGCAGAGTATTAATGCCAAAGTGGTCCTTGCTTGAGGCCATTTTCCATTTCTTCAGAGGCACATTGCACCTATCCAGAATCGTAGTTAGAATTAATCCATAGGGGGTAGAATGAACCTTGAAGCCATTGATGACCCTGTCCAGTAGCTTGATGATGAATGCAGGCCAATTAATTGGCCTTCCACTTTCCAGGCACTCCAACAGAACTAAGTCTATATAATTTGCAATATGCCTTCTCTCCTGCCTGGGCAGTAGACACTTGTTGACAAACTTAAAAATGACTTTGTGCTATGGCCTCATTTCACTCTTCTGAATAGCCCTAGCCTCATTCACATCTGCAGCATCACATAACCTCCTGGTAATTTCAAGGGCAATATGTAGGGAGTCCATACATGGCCACCTTTGCCTTGTATAATCATCAAAACCTTCAGAGGGTATGTCAAGGATCTCTCCTAGCTTCTTTGCATCAAAGGTCACTTGAACTCCTTTCACCAGGATACTAACTCTGCCATCCTTAACCTCTGCATTTGCCATGAACTCAATGATCTCATTCCTAGCTAGCCTTCCATCCATATGAAGGACCATTTCCTTCCATCCCTAAGCAGCTAAGGCATCCACTAGTCTCATCCTTCCTGGTTCCACCAGGTCTTTCAGCAATTTACCCTTCAAAAGTTTTCTTTTAGCAAACATGGCAAACTTGTCTTGTTCACCATCAGACTCATCATCTTCTTCTTCGCCACTCCATTCCTCATCTTTAGAAATTCTAATTTGTTTACTTTTCACTGCAGACCTTGTCCTCTTGGATAATGAAGGTTCAGTAGCCTCAGACACAGAGGAAGACTTCTTGGAAGAAGTCTTGGGCTTTTTGGGCTTGGGGGTCTCAACCTCCACTATTGTAACTTTCTCCTGATGGACCTGTTCCATCTCCTCAACTTTCACAGCTTCTGAGGACTCTACAACCTTCCCTTTTCCTTTATCCATCCTTTTCTTCTTACTTTCTGCCAGAGCCTTTTGTAGATCACTCTCACTCTGTTTCACCCTGCTTCTTGTGGCTCTTCCCTTTGGTAAGGAAGTTTCAGTAGTTGTTGGGGATGAAGCCTTTCTTTTCTTGGAGGGTTTAGGAGTATTGGGGGATTTTGGTGTGGTAGTTCTTCTTTTCTTTGGATCATAACTGGCCCAACCTTTTTCAACAGGTCTGCTAGGGTCTTTTCAGTTGATGAACCAGGTTCATCTCCTTGTGCGCTTAGATTGACTAACCCTTCAGCAGCTTTACCAGAACCACTTCCCCCTAATTTCTTGCCACTCTCTTCAATAATTTCTTGTTCAACACCACAAATAGCAGGTACAGATAAATCAGCAGTGGGTGAATGATCAACCACTCTTTTCCCTTTTCCCCTCTCGTCACCACATTCACCCTCTCTCTTTTTTTCTTTTTCAGATTTTTTTACCTCCAATGCGTCTTAACTCAGGTAATTCCACATCCCTGATAGGCCCAACCAAAATAAACCTATTTTCTAAATTCTCAGTCACAGAAGAAATTACCTTAGAAGGGGATTCTTGAGCCTTCTCCGAGTAAGAAGACCCAGGTCCTTCCCCCTCACTAGCAGATTTGTATGACTCAGAATCAGAGTTAGAGTTAGAGTCTTGGGCCTGACTTGCCTTTAATTGCTCATTCAATTTCTTTGAAAGAGCCCTAGAAGCTACTGTTTTTCAAGCAAGCATTTTTACCCTTCTCAGCCTGGGTTTGGGAGATGTGCTAGGTGGAGGAGGGGTAGATGAATTTGAGGGAGTGGGTGGTGGAGGAGTTCCAGGGTTGTCTTGTGGGTTTGTCATTATCGCTGGTTTCTTGAGAGAATTAGTGAGTTAGAATTTTGGAGAAGAAAGCAATTAAAAGTGAAGAAAGGTTTTTGACGGTTTAGAATTATGAAGATGGCAGGAGGTAATGATGGTATTTAAAGAGAAATACACATTTAATGTATAACAACGGCTTTAGTAGTGGTCAATTATAGGTCCAATCAACCTAAAATTTCAGGTTTGAATGAGCGTTTAAGTTTCCCTAGATTTTAGGCAAATTTTATGGTTTGGAGTTCTAATGCTGGTGGAACTGGTTCAAAAACAAACGGATAGAATTTTATAAGGAGTTGAACAATTGTAGGACTTCTACTCATGATTTAAATATTTATATTTCTAAATGTGCATAGTATAGAAAACATACATTATCATTCAGATGAACCCATACTGATGAACCCGGTTCTTCATTTAGAATTCTCTTGACCATGCCTCAATTTACTATAATAGAGAAAATTTTATAAGAGATTAGTGAGTCATATTAACACATGTCACAGGAGTATACTATTACAGTATAAAGCCGAGTAAAAATTAATCTAGATATTTACACAAGTTCAGATTTCCTAGCCAATATTTTTTTCATTTTTTTTCATTGTGCATTCTGAGCTATCCTATTAGGTGATCTTAATCATCCCTAATTCCAACCTGTTCCTCTCAAAGTTTTCTCTACTCAGTGCTTTAGTAAAGATGTCAGTAATTTGTTTATCAGTAGCATAGAATTCTATGATGATCAATCCTTTCTCATAGTTATCTCTCAAGAAGTGGTGTCTAACATCTATGTGCTTATTCCTCTTATGATGAACATGATTCTTTGTCATACTTATAGCACTAGTGTTATCACAGAAGATAGGAATGCAACCAACTTCAATGCCAAAATCTATCAGCTGCTGTTTGATCCACAACAATTAAGCACAACAAGAGGCAACATCAACATATTCAGCCTCAGCAGTAGATAAGGCCACTGAATTCTGCTTTTTAGTGGCCCATGATACAAGACATGAACCAAAAAAATGAGCCATACCTGAGGTGCTCTTCCTATGCACGAGGAAACCTGCATAGTCAGCATCAGCATACCCTACTAGATTGAAATTACTACCTTTAGGGTACCAAAGACACAAATATATAGTACCTTTCAAATATCTCAGTATCCTATTGACAACAGTCAAGTGAGATTCCTTTGGATTAGCATGAAAACGAGCACAAAGCCATACACTAAATACTATGTCCGATTTGCTGGTAGTAAGATACAAAAGTGAACAAATAATACCCCTATACAACTACATATGAACCAGGTTCATCTATGTCTAATTTAGTGGCAGTTGCAATGGGGGTGTCTATTTCCTTTGATTTATCCATTTTAAACTTTTTGATCAACTCTTTTGCATATTTCTACTGATAGATCATGGTTCTATTTGGGTTTTGTTTGATATGTAAACCTAAGAAAAAGTTAAGCTCACCCATCATACTCATTTCAAACTCACTCCTTATTAATTTGGCAAAATCCTTACTTAGTTTGTTAGTGGTTTCCCCAAAAATTATGTCATCAACAAATATTTGTACCACAAGAAGATCCTTACCTTTTTCCTCAAGAATAGAGTACTGTCAATTTTACCTCTTTTATAGCCATGTTCAAGCAGAAATTTGGACAATTGTTCATACCATTCTCTAGGAGCCTGCTTGAGTCCATAGAGAGCCTTGTCTAATTTGTACACATGTTCAGGACATTCCTTGCTCTCAAACCCTGGAGGTTGTTTAACAAACACTTCTTCTTTTAGGTAGCCATTTAGGAAGGCACTTTTGACATCCATCTGATGAAGAGTGAATTCCATGTGTGCTGTAATGGCTATGAGGAGTCTTATTGCCTCCAGTCTTGCAACTGGAGCAAATGTTTCATCATAATCTATACCCTCCTCTTGGCTATAACCTTGGACCACCAGTCTTGCCTTGTTTCTTGTAACTGTTCCATCTTCATCAAGCTTGTTTCTGAAGACCCATTTTGTGCCTATTACTGATCTGTCCTTGGGTCTTGGAACTAGATGCCAAACTTGACTTCTTTCGAATTGATTGAGTTTATCTTGCATTGCATTTACCCAATCTACATCCTGCAAAGCCTCAACAACATTTTTAGGTTCAATAAGAGATACGAAAGCATCAAAAGTATACAGATTCTTTAATTATGATCTAGTTTTAACTCTAGAGATTGGATCAGTAACTATATTCTCAATGGGATGAGAACTTTGATACTTATGAGGTTTCACAACCAACTGGTTTCTGCTTGATGTTTCTCCCATGTTCTGTTGCTGAGCAACAGGGTCATGAACAGGTTCCTTTAGGGGATTGATTTCAGTTCCTCTTTGTTCTGTTCCCCCTGTTAGGTTGCCCTGGATGGAAGAACCTGTTCCATCACATGTTCTTTCTTTTGGTGCAACTTTAGCTTGAGCTGAGACTTCACTCAAATCTTTTACCAGCCCAATAGCTTCATCTTTATGTTCGTGTCTCTCAGAAAGAATGTTAGTTTCATCAAAAACTACATGTACACTTTTTTCTACACACAAAGTTCTTTTATTGAACACTTTATTAGCTTTGCTATGTGAAGAATATCCCAAGAATACTCCCTCATCACTTTTGGGATCAAACTTACCTAGGGAGTCCTTTCCATTATTGTGCACAAAGCACTTGCATCCAAATTCCCTAAGAAGGGATATATTTTATTTTCTCCCTTTAAGTAACTCATGGGGAGTCTTCTCTATAAGAGATCTAGTCATGCATCTATTAATGATGTAACATGCAGTATTTACAGCCTCTACCCAGAAGCTATGGGGCAGTTTACTAGAAAGAAGCATAGTCCTAGCCATATCTTCAAGAGTCCTATTCTTTCTTTCAAATACTCCATTTTGTTGAGGAGTCCTAGGGGCAGAAAAATTATGATCTATACCATGCTCATCACAAAATTCAGCAAACTTAGCATTTTCAAATTCAGTTCCATGATCAGACCTGATTGATGCAAGTTGATTACCTAGTTGTTTCTGAGTTTTTCTAACAAAGGTAGTAAACATGTCAAATGCTTCATCCTTAGATGATAAGAACAGTACCCATGTAAACCTAGAGTTATCATCAACAAGTACCATCACATATTTGTTACCACCTCTGCTCAATGTTCTCATTGGACCACATAGATCCATATGAACCAGTTCTATCATCCTGGTTATGCCTACCATTTTCTTGCTTTTAAAGAATGATCTTACATGATTCCCTCTTGCACATGCCTCACAAACTCTGTCTTCCTTGAACTTGATGTTAGGTAACCCTATCACCAAGTCCTTGGAGACTAATTTGTTGAGTTGATTCAAACTTGCATGACCAAGTCTTTTGTGCCACAGGAGGGGATCATTATCCAACACACTTAAGCAAATGAGTTCATTTTCTGAAAGAGTGGACAAATCTACAATGTAAATATTGTTAAATCTTTTTCCCTGCAAAACAATTTTGTCAGTAGTAAGATTAATCACAAAGCATTTGGTAGAGGTAAATGCTACAAGGTTACCTCTGTCATACAGTTGTGATACACTGATTAGGCTATATTTCAAGACATCTATCAAGTAGACATTCTCAATGGAGTATGAGTCTACCTTACCTACCTTTCCAACCCCAATAATCTCACCTTTCTTCCCATTTCCAAAGGAGACATTACCTCCTTTTAAGTCCTCAAGTGAAAGGAACTGGTTCTTGCTTCCGGTCATCTGTTTTGAGTAGCCACTATCAATGTACCATATTTGGCTACTTCCCTTTACTTGGACCTGCAAAAAGAAATCAGGGGTTAGTCTTAGGGACCCAAACTAGTTTGGGTCCCTTTCTATAGGCACATAGGTAAATTAAATTCCTTTTGGCCCACCCAAGCAACCTATTTTTCTCTTGAACAAAGGTTTTGTTCTTTTGACTGTCCTTTTCTTTTGCATTACATTCATTTTTGTAATGACCAGTCTTGCCACAGTGTGTGTAGATTTTATTTTCAGGAAGAGTGAGGTACTTGCTTTTGGGGTCCCACTTAGGTGCTTGGGTCCCATAGCCAAGTCCTCTCTTGTTGCTACTGTGATGTTCTTGTAGCCAGGATAGTGCATCAGAAGCCTTATTCCATTTGCAAGTTCTGTCTAGTTCATGCTTTACCTTCCCTAGGTCTTCTTTTAATACTCTTATCTGCTTATCTTTCTTGTACAACTCATCCTTCATCTTTCATAGATTTTCTTCTAAGGTGAGATGTGTGTGATCAGCTTTCTTCTTACCTGTTCCTAGTTTCAGTTTTAAATTTTCAGACCTAAGTTCTAAGACACTGGTGTCAAATTCAAGAACCTGGTTCTTCAACTTAGCATTTTTACTGTCACTCTCATTAGCTCTAGATTCTAGATTTTTGCACTTGGCTTTTAAGATCACACTCTCCCTAGACAACTGTTCCTTCTCATTGTTAATTATTTTAGACTTATCGATGAAGTCTAACAATAGTTCAGATAACCTTTCTTTAGATATAAATTTAATCTTGTCTCTGAGATGAATCACACTTACCTCTTGTTCATCATCTGATTCTCCAATGACCATAAGTTCTTGTTCATCTCCAGCTTCATCTTCTGAATCCTCATCTGATGTTTCTCCCCAAGAAGCAACCATAGCCTTTGTTGATCCTTTGTTCCTTTTGGGTTGAACTTGTTCCTTCATTCAGCCCTTTCCTTCTTCCATTCAATTTCCCATTGAGGACAGTTCTTGATCATGTGATCAGTCTTTCACATTTGTAGCAACCCTCGTTGGTCTATTTCTCAGGAGCCCTTGGTTTGTTGAAGGTTGTACCTCTTGAAGAACCCTTTCCTCTCATTAGGTACTTTTTGAAATCCCTTGTGATCATGGCCATTTCATCATTCTCCAGATCTGCACCTTCAGCTATTCTGAGAGCCAGACTCCTTTCCTTCTTGGGTGCATCCATTTTCATGGTTTGCCTT